TTATCTTTATTGTTGTATTTCTTTCAACAATAAAGATAAATTTTAAATAAAATTTAAAAAATAAAAATAAAAAAAGTCTCAGCCAGAGGATGGACAGGAAGTAAACCAAAATTAACTTCTGGGAAAGCTAACACACTTAATCAGATATTAACAGACGCTGAAAACACCTGAATGGAGAATGTTTCAACTGCAGAAAGTAGGGACAGGCCCCACATGAGCCCCTCTGACCTGCTTGTAGAAGTGCTGGTCCTCGGGGGCTCGCGTTTTGAGAAACTCCTCACTGTTAAACACTCTGTGCTCGTAATTCAGGTGGTTCTTCACCTCCCTGACAGACACAGACAAAACATGTCACAATGAGAAGCAGGGAAATTACACGTACACTTGGAAAAGCCCATCTTCAGGAGGATTATTCAAACACCAGAGTGACGCGGTTTGGGGTGCCTGGTGGCCGAGCTGTTTCACTACTTCTAGCACAGCTTTTCCCTCCTACCAGAACAGTCCAGAAGGGTCTGTCACTGTCACCTCAGGTCCCTGACTTCTCACAGAAATGAAGATGCAATGATCAATAATGGTTCATACAAACAAAAGTGAGTTCCAGCTGGTGAGCCAGTTGGCAAGCTCTCTGTTCTGAACCCCTTGGGGCAGAGGGACCTTCCAGCCACCCCCCTTCTAAGGGACTCGCCTCTTATAGACCGGGATGCGGAAGATACCTGAAGATGCTGACGAGCAGCTGCAGGGTGAGCTGCTGGATCTGGCCATTGAGCCTCTGCTGCCAGGCCCGCCTGCGGGCTCGTCCGTCGTGCAGGTCTGTGCTGGAGCCCAGGTGGGCCAGGTCTAGGTCGTGGTGCAGCTGGAGGCTCTGAACCCTGGAGGAAGCAGGTATGTGACACGTGTGCTCCTTCTGGGCCGAGAGAATGCTCCAGGTAGGCCTGGGGCTAAGAATGCCCGTCAATAATAGAGGTGGGGGGACGTCAAAAATATACCCTTGGAAGTGTTTATTCACCTCTGACATAAATAGCTAATTAGTGCAGAACTCACGGAGGCCTTGACTTTGAGCACACACATTTTTATCCAAGATGAGTCATTCTGTTCCCCACGTTCTGCCCAGCGAGGGCACACTCCTCCAGGAGAGCCAAAGGGTTCCAGCTCAGGCCCCTTGACTGCACGCCCTGCCTGGGCATGCTCAGAGGCACCAAACATCCAGGGATGGCCACATACTCATCCCAAGGACCTCAAGGTATCTCTTCTAAACCATGAGTTGGCCTCAGATAGGTCCCACTCCCGCCCCCCAATACTACGCACAGCTGCACTTTTAGGCTTGGGAGACCAAGGCATTCCCAGGTTTAAATCACAAAATAAACAGACCCACCAAGTCCATCCCACCAATATTTCTGAGCACGAACTTTCCAAACCAGGCACCATCTAGGTGTAGACGACAAGAACACAGCAAAACCAGCTCTGTGGGGCTCACATTCAAGTGGGAAGAAACAGGAAAAGAAATAAATGCTCTTGGGGACCTTGGACCCGGCAGGTGGAAGGCAGGGTGCACACAGCCACGAGCAGATGGGGGGAAGGGCACCCAACTGCCACAGGCCCCTCAGCAGGGTGGGTGGGCTTGTCGAGGGGTGGGGCAG